ACCTTTGACACAGTCAAAGGTGCTCCGAAATATTCGTTCATAGCCTCAACTAATCTGTTGATGAACAAAAATGGAGCAAGAGGGTTGGTTTTCCACTTGCTTGAAGCTTGGAAAAGCAAATAAATGGTTAAGCCTTCGACTTTTCTAGAACAGATGTAGAACTCCTCATTTACCTTTATCAACGGAAGTGGTGCCTCGTTTGATTTGAGTGGATCTGTGCTTTCCTCATGACGAATTGATTCAATTAAAGTGCTGAGCAGTAGGTAATGGGGTGAGAACAGCAGCACCAAGTACTCGTAAACAAGCGAATCTTTGCCGTCAGCGATGTAGACTGCTTCGAACATGCTATGGCCTAGTATTTCTGAGTGTCAGATTCGATTCAGTGTATGGTACTATATCGGTGTACGGGTGTAAAGATGGTCAAGCTGTCAGTAGCTTAAGTTGCCATTGGTACTACCCAAACTCAAGTTAGGAGCCTCTGAGGTGTTCAAATCTTTGTTGATTTGATGATCAAAATGGTGGCTTTTTGGTGACTAAAAAAATTTCGATGGCGTAATTATTTATCTATTTTCTTGGAATCCGTTCGCAGTTTTGCAACCATGTACAATATTAGAGGTAAAATATAAATCGAGCCAGGTGAATATGCAAAAACCAATTATTTATTTTTTTTTTCTTCACTTTTGCTTCATGACTATAGTAGCCTATTAACGTTTGGTAACATCCTTAGAGAAGATTACAGTACAAATGATTTCACAGGTAACAAATATTATAATAAAGGGTCTAAAAAAAATGGGGAGGGGGGTCATAAAAATTAGTCGAGCCGTTCTTAAATCGTGGGGGGATTGTCATCAACAATAATAATCATGGAACAGCAACGGTCATTAAAACGCAATCTTCAAAAAAATGTTCAAAAACTATCTCACTTAACACACACATAAAACATCCGAGTTTTTGACATTTTCTTTCAGACCCATTAGCTTATTCACACGAAGAATTGTCATCAATGGTCCCTAATTATTTGGAGTTGTTGTTGGACGATGACTCACCGACAAGCTCAGAGGTCTCGTCAGCTTCATCGAGATCGACGTCCAAGTCACGAGCAACACGCTCGTCAATGTCCTTGACATCAGCCAAACCGTAGACGGTGATAGCAATCATACCCAAAACACCAGCAATAGCGGAGAACACCAAGGCCACAATACCTCTGGCAGTGAAACCAGCAGGCAATGGCTTCTGCTGAACGTTCATGCCGGTCAAGTCCATGTAGTTCTCAGAGTTGCCAGCAGCATTACCGGTGAGGTTAACACCAACCTTCAGACAAACCTGCTTGTGGTTCTCAGTGAACTGCTGACGAGGGTCCTTTTGCATCTCCTCAGGAGCCTCAATGAGAACAATAGCCAAACCTTGCTCCAAGTGCCACTCAATATGGCAATGGAAGAACCAGACACCTGGGTTGTCGGCCTTGAATCTCATGACAGCGTAGGAGTTTCCTCTAACAAAGATGGTGTCTCTCTTCATTGGAACTTCAGGGTAGTCAGTGTGGTTGTCGTAGTCGAAGGAGGTAGGATCTTCAAACTCAGGACCTCTCTCGATAAGCTGGAAAACGTGGCCGTGCAAATGGAAGGGGTGAGTACCATCATCCTGATTGTTAAGCACAATGTCGATAGTTTCATCCTTGTTCAACACAAAGGCGTTGGTGTTACCGTAGATGTAAGAGTTGGTTGCAAGATCACCAGCGGACATAGCAGAACCGAGAATTGGAACCTTAGGAGCAACATAGGTAATGTTGTTGAAGAAAGCGTAGTTCACACCGTCTCCCAAGTTGTCCATCTTCACGTCGATAACCACTTGTTGGTCGGAGTCTGGCATAAGCTTCTCTCCGTCCTTAGGCACCAAGTAGAAGTCATCAAAGAAATCATCGAAATCGTCAATGTAATACTCGTCTGGCATGCTGGTATCGTCCGTATACTGAATGAGGTTTGTACTGTTCAAGATCAAGTCGCCAGGAATAACATCCAACATGGAGGTGTCAAAAGCATTCATGAAAGCGAAGTTCTTGTCGGCAGTGTCCTTGGTCTTGATCAAAACACCGTAACGCTGAGCAATAGTCACATAAAGGAGATCAGTAGTGTTCTTCTCGACATAGACACCGTCTACCTCGACAATCTCAAACTCGTGATCTTCCATGTACAAGTACTGGGAGACAAAACCACCCATGTTAACGATACGCACAAAGTAGGTGGTGTTGGGCTCCACCTTCCAAGTGTTGTTTCTGGTCTCGTTGAACAAAAGGTTCTGGGGAATTGGCTCAGCACCAGTAGGGTTGTATCTGTTCATGAACTTTGGCTGCAAAACGTCAGCAGTGTCATGGTACCACTCGCCGATAGGCAAAATAAGTTCCTCGTCAAAGTCAAATGGGTAGTCGCTCTTGCTCTTCTCCTCAATGATGAAAGGAGCTCTCATACCGTCACCGTATTGACCGGCAGTGTGGGAGTGGTACCAGTAGGTACCCACCTGGTCGGCGACAGTGAAATTGTACAAGAAAGTCTCACCAGGGGGGATAGGACATTGGGTAACCATCTCTGGACCATCCATCTGGGAAGTACCGTTCTGGAACATACCGTGGAAGTGCAAAGTGGTGTTTCTGTCGTCAAAACCATTGGTCAAGTAAAGGTTCACAGTGTCGCCCTTCTTGACTTTCAAGGTTGGCAATGGCCAGGAGCCATTGAAACCAATAACATCACGTTCATAGACACCGTCAGGGTTTGCTTTCACCCAGCCAGTCTCAAAGTACCAAGTGTGAGTCTCAGCAGCGACCAAGCCGGCCCAGGAAGCGAGAAGCACGAAGAGATAAGACAATTGGATCATCTGCATGATAGAAACAAAAACAAAGAATTGGGTCCCTCCACAGATCCAACGAACAGGCTGAAGAAAAAAAGAAGAAAAGGGAAAGAAAAATGCCTCTTGAGCAAATATATAGGAAACATTCAGCTCTGCCGGCAGGAACTGGACAGGGAGACACAGGCATCGGCTTTACGCCTGTCCTGTGCGAGGCGACCTACTGACAGAGGAGTGCGGCGGGAAAAAGCAGATTAATCTGATTGTGTGCCGATGTCGGGAAAGTCTTTCCAGTGAGGTTTTTGTGCTTGCCGATGACGATGGGGGCTTAAATTAGGGGAAGATCGTGAGAGCTGCAAATCAGGAAACTGGGTATTCCGTCGGGCTGGTGGTGGGACTCTGATTGACGTTGACAGGTGGATGCCCAGCATTTTTTTTTGACAGATTCCCAAGCTACTTTTAGCGCTGGGGCAGTTATATCGAGGATGACAGCATATTGTTGGCCCGCATTTCATTGTGGGTTTCAGCGAATTGGAGCGCTGTCAAACCTGCCCCTGGACATTGCACCGACCCGCATGCGGCAGCCAGACCCAATATCACAGAAACCGAGTACGGATCAAACAGAAGGGTTCCAGCAGAAGAGCCAATTACTCGCCTCGCGAGCCCCTCGCTAAAAAAAAATGGGCCTGGTTTCGCATGGTAGGAGAATTTGCATATGCCAGCCTTGTGCTACTCCTCTGTCGGGCGGCTGTTTGTCGCATGCGATGTGGTATGTGACAGCTTTGTGCGGACATGGGCCTATCGAGCCTGAAGCGAACGCACCGGCCCAGTGGCGCCACTGATTGGACATTTTGGGCCAGTGGTGGCGCCAGAAAAAGTGCGAGAGCGAAATTCGGCACCAGCAAAAAAGCACAATTTGGCTCGTAAAAGCCTCCACGCCTGCCGGCCTGTACGGTGCAACAGGGCGGTTTCCAACGGGAGCCACTAAGCAGAAGCGCCTGCGCAGACCCACAGAGCCTGGCTGGAATTGCATTCCTGCTGTGAGGCTTTTTGTGGTTCTGACGAATAAACGATTTTGGCCCGTGGGCGCTGCAGAATTGGCCCACAACCGATAAGCTCGTCAAGACTGTTCAGCCGGGTCGGTCTTTCGCTGTGCGGTTTTTAGTGAGACAAGGCTGATTTGCGACTACAATGGCAGATTGTAAAAGATGTGCTCCTTAGGATTTACGGCGCCAACAAAGCAGCCACTCACGTTTGTCTTTTATGCTTATTGTGACAATCCCGGACAAGAAGAGCCAATGAACGGCCTCCCAAGATGCCATTGGTCGGCTGCTTAATTGCCTGCTCAGTTGGGTTTCAGGATCGCACGTATGCATCTCTCGTTAACCCAAGTTCTTCATGTACCGTAGCTGCCGTTTTCCGTCTCGTCCTTCACCTGGAGATTTGCGTTTTGTGCCATGCCAGGGTAGCCACTCACGGAACACAGATTAATCTTTATTCCGCGCCAATAAAGCCTCGTGGACTGATAACCCTGGAATTATTCCACGGATGACGTTGTTGGTGCCTCGCTTGCTGACCTTGATCTTGAAGCGAATAGATGGTGCGGTATTGGCGGGTGCATGTGTATGCACCTTCCGGCTTATTCTTGTGCTTTGACCGAGCGAACAGCGGGTCTATGCGGATTAAAAGTGGCATAAGCAGCACTGTTTTTAGCGAGGGTTAGCCGCCTTTTTTGTTCAATCACTCTCTGTAATTATTCTTATAATTTAACGAATCAATAGTCACCACCAACCAAGTGAGCCCTGAGGACCCAGCTAGGTGACTCTGCCTTGAGTTTTGAGCCTTTGCGGCGCTCAGATCTTTCTTGTACGATCGCCGATTTTGAATATTATTTTTCGCCGTTTATCTTTGATATGCTTGCTGTTCTACTTTTACGTTTCTCTCACTCATGAGGTCTCACATTGCTTGACAGTGCTTGAGACTTTGGCTGGAGGAGCTTTCGCACAAGTCCGATACGCTTCCGACCTTGAGCTAGGTGGTTTTGCACTGAGTGCCGTTTTGCCGTCGCTTAAATCTCTCAAAAACGGCCCCAATCTGTCTACGAAACTTGAAAACCACTAATTTTGCAAAACGACAATTTTGTGTTCCATGTCTCATCACTCATGTTCAACAACTATATGGTCAACCCCACCGTTTCTTCTCCAGTAGTGCATATAACGAATTAAACACCCAATGCGTTTTTGAAGTGGTGCAATACGAACAGTACACGATCATCAAGCGTTTTATGGGTTCCACTTAATAGGCATGCTGTCACAGGTACTGCGTCATTTCTCTCGTTCCTTATCCACTAGCCAAGTTCAAAAAACAACCTCGACTTCCAACTTATGGCACGTGTTGCAGAAGATCAGACTGCCAAAGAAAACGGTTGCAAAATCGAAAACACAGGTGAAAAAGAACGCTAACCGCCCCTCACACCCCACATCTGTTCCTTTAAGCAAGCTTTTCGCAAGCCAGTTTCCATTACCCTTGAAGCAACTGTTTGAAGATTATGCTCTCAGACATAATCCACTCCAGTTCCAGCATGACGTGCTAGCAACACTTCCTTTTTTCCCTGAAGCAGACAAATCTGGCCGCCAAGGGAAGGTGGTCAGCACAGAGCTTCTGTCTGGTTATCGTATCAATGAGTTTGCGATATACCCTGGCTCATTTCATGGAAAGCTGGGCGCAGAACAGGCTGAACTTTACCAAAAAAGCAAGCACTTGATTATGATTCATGGCTACGGTGGGGGTTTGGGTTTCTGGCTCAAGAACTTCAATGAAATCTCGCAGTTAGATGACTGGGTGGTTCACTCTATCGATTTGCTCGGCTATGGCTGCTCCTCGAGACCACCTTTCAAGATAGAGGAAGAGAGTATACATGGGGTAGACAAATGGTTCCATGACTCTTTCCAAGAATGGCTCAAGCTTCGCCGCCTTGACGAGAAGCATCAAAACAATTTGGTCCTTGCTCACTCCATGGGGGCATATCTTATGGGCACATACGGGATCAAAGTCAATCCATCGTTTTGCAACAAGATGTTGATGGTTTCCCCAGGAGCCATCATCAAACATAGAAAACAGGTACCTGTTCCAGCCTATTTCGCTCGTCTTTGGGAGCAAAATATATCTCCTTTCTGCTTGGTGAGGAACACAGGTCCCATAGGCTCCAAGTTGGTGAGTATGTGGTCGTTTCGGCGTTTCGCTGACTTACCGAAAAAAGAGGCGACTCTTTTGCACAAATATGCCTACGGTATTTTCCAAAGTCCAGGTTCTGGAGAGTATATGCTTAACTATTTGCTAGCGCCTGGAGCTGACGCTAGACATCCTCTTATAGAGAGAGGGATTCACAAACTTCGCTGTAAGCTCCTGTGGTGGTATGGTGAAGACGACTGGATGGATAAAAAAGGGGGCCAGTTGTGCTCTAAAATAATCAACAATGTGAGTGGGGATCCAGCAAGAAGTACCGTGGAACTGATACCAAATGCCGGACATCACCTTTACTTGGACAACTCTCATTATTTCAATCAAAAGGTGCTTGCTGAGATGCGGAATATGCGAAGTGAAGACTAGACGGCTTGTGATTTGAGGAGAGACGAGATATCACTTGGTTCTTCCAGAGGCCCTTCGAATTCATCGATCACCACCAGAATCGATATCGGAAGACTTGGATCCGTCACGATAATCTCTTCGTTGATGGCAACGAGTTCTGAAACCGGTTTTTCCAAATTTGGCCTGGTTTGCGTCTCAAGAAACGGTGGCTGCCTGAAGTATAGATTCGTTTGAGCCGTTGCCAACGATGGGTTCTTGAGTGCGACGTCTTGTCTCCCCGACAAATCTTCAATTAGATGCAATAACTTCCACCATCGAGGCACTTTGATGCGCTTCATTTGCGTCCCACACACGGCGCACGATGGCCGCTTCGAGTGGGAATAGGTGTAAGTAAAAATAGAATCATCGCCTGAGTACATCATGTAGTTGTCAAGAATCGGGTATGTTCCAATTGCGATTTTGAACACCTCGTTAGTGCAAGCAGCAGCAATGATGGCATTAGTGGATGCAATTGCAGGGATGATGTTCTTCACAACCCCTAACGTGAGTTGCTTGGTGACATTCTCAATACCAAACTCTCGGGCCCTTTCGACGGAAATTTGGTACATGGCTTCGACATCTTCAGGAATATCGGCGTCAAACTTCTTGCCTGGAAAACGGCGAGGCCACTCTAGTTGACTAGCCCATTCGATGCAGTGTTCGGGAAGTCTAGGAGTGTTCGCAATAGTGCAAACAGGGTATGTTTCTTTGGGGGAGATCATGTCTAAGGAACATTCGAAGCACGAGCTCAACCTTGGCATGATCACCCTGGCCTGTCCTCTAAAACCCTCCGTTCCTCCGTCAACCAATGGAATCAAATTGTTGAGCTGATCATCCACGAGCCCCACTAGTAGCGCATTGATCCACCTCCGGGCTTCGATATTATCAAGGCCACAGATGACCACATTAAACTGTTTGTAGAACTCAATGGGTTTTTCTTGGATCTTGCAAGTGTGTGCTTCAATGCTTAGATTAGGATCACCAATTCGTGCCCGCACGAACTCTGAAGCAACCTCCGATTTGTACCTGCCGACGTCCTTAGCTCTAAATAGAAACTGACGATTCAAGTTGGACACATCTATTGTATCCATGTCTATCACATGAATATTCTTGAAGCCCGTGAGGGCTAGGTTCTTGAGTATTTCGCATCCCAACCCTCCAGCACCGATAACCAATATCATGGAGTCACTAAGACTCGAAGCGGCTTGTGCCGGTGAGTAGTCTTCAGGAATATCGCTGAATGGCCCCGGATTTTCATAGAGCTCTCTAAAGGATGAGTTATCACGAGGCATAGCACATGCACAGCAATTTGCAATGCGAAACAAATTAGGACTACTTAGTGCGATTGATAGCGATGCTTACAAGCAGGCTGTTCTGGAAATATGAACATTTGACAGCCAAACATCTCCCACCCAAATTTATTTGCTACTCAAAATGATCGGTAATATCTAAGGTTGACACAAAATCGGCGTTTTTTTTTTGTATCGAAGATCACCAAGTAGTCGTTTGGTATCGTAAACGAGATTTGAAATGTTGAATACATAACTGGCTTATTTGACGGCCTTGTTTTCTTTTTCAGCGTCATCGGAATCCTTGTGGAGCCTCTTCAACGGCTGGCGCTGACCAGGAGGCATGCCCAATGGGCGTTTTCCAGGTCCATAGCCCAACTGCGGTGAGGGCACATTTGACTGTGTACCTGCTGGAGGAGTCTGTGGGGCGGTATCTGAACGACGGACCTTCACTGACTTTGAAGGATCAATTGTGCGACGAACCCCGGATGAAATGAACTTATGGTCGTATACTGGTATGCTGTTTGGATCCTGACTCTTCTGAACATCCAAAGCCTTTTTGGAGCTCGTGAAGAAAACTTGGCTGGGCGTGGCACCATTGGTGTCATCAGCTTCATCAGACCTCATTGATTGGTCACTTTCTTGCTTCGATTCCTCCTCTTTATTCTTCAAGAGTTGAAGTTCGTAATCGTCTAAACGGTCATTCAATTCTTCTTCTCCTAACTCATCGCTGAATTGGAACAGATCATCAAGATCCTTAAAATCGCTAGGCTTAATAGCCAGTGGTCCGGCTTTCCCGTGTGGTTTTGGAGGAGCAGACACGCTTCTCAGCATATTATGATCTTGTATTCTTGCAGGGCCATTCGTGATATTTTTTGGTTGAGGAGCCGGGGCTTGCTGTGCCGCGTTTTGTTGACGTCTTTGCTGGAGATGGGTTTCTCTCTTAAGAACCAACGGGTCTCTGTGGAAGTCTGAAGGCTCCAATTCACGGGGTGGAGCCTTCACTTTCTGCATCTTTGCGATGATGGTCTTGTCGTAGAGACAATTACCCAAAACATTTCCGAAGCATCGTAGGCAACGCTTTAATCCATCTGTGAATGCCTCTTTTTTACATTTCTCAAAGGCCATCGCCTTGTTCTTTGCGTTTTCAATGAAACCGTAGCCGAAATCTTCGTGGAAAGTTCCATCCTTGAGCGTAATCCTGGCAACGACTGAGAGACCTAAAGAGACTCTTCCGTTGTTATGCACATCTAAGAAGTCGACAGACACACTTATTAGTTCAGAGGACCAACCGTTGAAACCGAATATGTCATTAGCCAAGTTCAACGCCTTCCATCCCTCTATGTATGAGACATTTTGTCCACCTGTACCAGGTCGAAAGCTTACATATTCTGGGCCCAAAACCTTGTTGAGCCGACCTTGGATTGTGTCTGCCTCTTCATCACTATAGGGGATCGCGTTAAAGGGTTTGGATGAGTTGCTTTGATATTGTGTAAAAGAACGCGCTTGTTGAGGATTTCTCTGTTGCTCTTCATGAGGTCCACCACCAGGTCGACCATTTTGAGGAGGCCTGTTCTGGTTGTTTGGGTTCATAGGAAGAAAGCAATGTGAGAGGATCAAAGATCGAGAGGCGTCTTGTTTACGTGTGGGGGACCATGCAGGAAAATACCATAGGAGCTTGGAAGACTAGTCTTCAGAGGCCAGAGAAGTCAGAATTTCTTAACCGGAGCGTCACTTCTTCGGGAGATCTTTTTGTTATACTCGAACTCTTCCATGAAAAGAGTAGCTTTCGATGTCAATACACGTATGACAGCCTCCCTACTGCAAAAAGCAGTAATAGCACGCGACAAAAGCCAGGAAACGAAGTCAGTTATTCGAAACTTAAGATTTCTTATCTCATCATCGTCCGAAATGGCTTTTGTGAAGAAAATCTATGTTTTGTGGATCTATTGTGGCTTACTGCTTCACACCCGACATGGGTATCACTGGTCACTGAAAATCGCGATCTTATCTACAACCATGGGTCAGCCTGAAGATGACGACCCTGGGGACGTTGCAAATGTTGAATCGGGCCAAGCAGACGTGGCAGTGAAAAAGAAAACCTCCACACAGAAAGACACTATTTCATTGCTACGGCAGGAACAAATCCAGGAATACAAACGGAAAGTGACCAGGGAGGAAAGGATGAAAAGATATGCTCTACGACATGGCGATACTTCTGACCGAGACACTTGCAGCCGAAGTTCGGATGGCATCAGCGACGAAGGAGAGTCTCCACGGAAGAAAAAACGGGTGAGTTTCGACTTTTCCAAGAGAGAAGTCACCCCACCGAACAGCCAATCCGACTCCGTGAGCCCGAAAAGGGTAGCCGATAGTTCAAGAGAAGAGAAGCAAAAGGAGCAATAATGAATTGAAGTACCATTTTAGCAGCGTGAGTCCTGCTAGACATTATATTCGTTCTATAGCATGAGGTGACAGGCACTGTGACCTCCATAGTAATACATTCGTAACAAAGTTTTTGATGCTTGTGTCAAACCGTTTGAAAGAAAGAAAACGGCGGGATAAAAGCCCCTGACTTGACTGTTGATATTCTCGCGGCGGAGGGCAATACTCTTGGTAATCCTGGAGCAGGCCGATCGAGCTTAAACATCGAGAGATGATACCAACGTTATATTGTCTCCCTTGAGCAATATCATACCTAGCTCTTCTTTGCTGCCATCGGTGGTAGATATTTCCACGGCATCCTCCACAACGACATTCATGAACTCATCAAACCCACGTATTTTGCCCTGAATTCTCAGTTGTGTTTGCTCGTAAAGCCAAATTGTGACAAGGGCCTGCTGCTGAAGGTATTTGAATATAAGATTTATGGGCGGAAGCATAGACTGCTTACCTTTAACGCCTGACATGGTTGGTTTGACTTCCTCACTAGCTGATGGATGTGCATACACTTTTTGTCTAACCTCGCGAGCATACAAGCAGGAAACCTCTACCTTCTACCTCTCCTTAGGAACTGCATTACGAGTGAAGAATCGTTTGTTACGAAATCATTCTGATTTATTCGCTACTCGATACATTGCTAGAACGAGAATGATCATCTCAAAGCGATTGCATGTGAATAAGCAGGAGTCTGAGGGGCCATTAACGGCTTTCATTGATGAGGCTTGCTCTTCAGATGAAGCCGGGTTGACCAGACTACTTAACGCCAATCTCAAGTGGGAGCGACCAAGAGGAGATTTGATCACATGGGTCAAGCTTCTCAATCACATTGACGACATATTCGAGAAGAAAATTGCCAATTATGGAATGGATGCTCCAAACCCAAGACTAGTCGTGATATCTCCAGACGACACCAGTCTTCTTACCGCTTGTTTGAACTTCACCAACACACTTTTGGAACATTGTCTCAACAGAAATATCTATGGAAGTTCCGAAAGAATCTATCAATTGATCTTGACACCGACGATAGACGTCAAACTAGCAGCACTTGAGGTTGCTGTTCGGCTTGGAGAGCGCTACGTTGGCTCAACCTACATCAAGAAGTATTGTGCTCCGAAGGAGGTAAGACAGCATGTTCTCGATATGGCCAAATCATTTCCACCTCCTGTGCCTACGGGCTTCATCCAGAAACAGGTGGATCAAACGGATCAATCCGATGACAACAAGCCTCGCAGTGAACACTACAGCTTATATGACACTCTTGATCACAAAAAGGTATACCCAAGCAAATGGGCAACTTTGAACTTCCAATATTATGCATCGCCACTGTCTACCTCCCAAAGTCCACGGAGTGATAGCAAGGACAAGAAGAAGAGTGCCAAAAAGCACACTCAGACCGAGAAGGAGGGTCTCCTTTCGTTCAATTTATGCGAAAGCTCCGTTCGAAAATTGACATTGGAGCAGATTTACGACAAAGCTGCTGAGACGTTGCCGGAATCATCATGGTTTAAAGTGTCACTTGCTGCATTAAACGCTAAGGCCTTCAATTCAAGGTCTCATGATTGCATGGTACTTCGAGAAAAGTTAATTCGAATGAAGTGTGCTTCCGTTGCATTTACAGCTCTCATGTCTAGTGCAGAATTCACTTCATCAAACTTGTTCGAGGCCGAGCCCTACCTACTCAGCTTCTTGGTTGACTTCATGGCTCCAGAAAATTCATCTACTGTGTCCAGTGAAGTGTTTGTGGCATCTTTAAAAGCTTTAGAAGCAATAGCTCACAGAAGACAATGGGGAAGTGAGCTTATCAGAAATTTGGGAGGAAATGTGAGCCACGGATTGCTTTACCAGCAATTGAGACATATGAATAAGCAAATCAGAGACCAATCGGATGTCTGCAATGAAAGGGCGAATTTGCTAGTTTTTACACTTATTGGTCACTTCATTGACAACAAGTCTCTCGTTTCGAGGCTTGCTTCTGGCGGGATCCTAAGCGAGCTAATGAGCTTTCTCAACATTCACACGAAATACCGCTGGTCGTGTTCCTCAGCAGTTAACACGATTGCTCTCCTCTTACGTTCATCTACTGAGTACATCTCGGATTTCATAAATCTTGACGGTTTCCGTTTGTTAATCGAAACGATCACGTACGAGGTGGATTTTGCACTCGAACATCCTGACTTCGCTGGTGGCGCACCCAAGGACGCTGTTGTTTATTACACTATTAGTCTCAGGCAAGTGAACTTCCTTAGAAACCTTTTGAGGCTTTCTTCCCAACTTGTTCAAGCAGATGGGAGTGACCGAATGAGGAACCTTTTTGACTCCCCCATTTTGTCATCATTCACGAAAGTCATTGAAAACCCTCATCTTTTCGGGCCACCAGTGTTAGGTGCCACTTTAGATGCCGTTTTATACATCATTCACAATGAGCCAACCGCCTTTTCGATACTCAACGAGGCAGGTGTCGTTGAATCAATTTTGAGCAATTACGATAAGCTTTTCATGCCCTCCAATGAATTACAGATAGCTTTACTTGAAGTGCTCGGTGCAATCTCCTTGAATAAGGAAGGGTTGAGACGAGTAAAAGAAAGCGGAGTTCTCAAAGTCTATTTCAAGTCGTTCTACGACCTCAAAATTGCTAAGGAGCTAGTGCGTGGTGATGTTTCGACAAGTATCGGTGTGTCAATGGATGAGCTTGGAAGGCATTTTCCAGATCTTAAACCAGATATCTTCGAAGAGATCAAAGACTTGATTGATAAAATGTCCAGCTATGCCAACCAATACTTGCAACCTATTCGGTTCTATACTTCAGATTCGCAGGATGCATTTTACCATGAGGGAGATTCGAGTTCGAAAGAAGTTCAAAAGACTGACGGAGACGAGATGGAATGTTGGGAAAATGCTGAGGGCTCTCCATTGATAGACAACTTGTTTGGATTTTTGGGAGGGCTTCTTCAGGACAGTGGACAATGGGTGAAGGACATCACTGATAATATTCCGTTCTCATCATGGGCGAGCTACATAACTCTTGACCTCGCCCCCATTGATTACATCACATCTAACGGTATGACAAGTTTGATGAATCTTTTGAAGTTCTTGGAGGATGAAAAGCAAGATTACGGACTTCCCAAACTCCTTGAGATGCTTCCAGACCGTTTGAAGTCCACTGATGTTCAAGATTTCATAAATTCCGGAAGTACTGAACCATTCCTTGCAGCCCATCGTGGCGATGTACCAAGGGCGAACATGCTCTTGAAAGAACTCAATGCCATTAACAACATACTTTTTATCTTGAGTGAGAGCTATCTCCTTCCAAGTAACATGGTTAACGAGAAGTATCAGACACTCATAAATACCCTTCAGTCAATGCCCTATCCAGTCATTCAGGACTTGACCAGATTGATGGGAAGAAGTATCATTGAGGAAATCGTGATTCGTCAACCTCTTTCAGCAGATGCGTTGGAGTACACTGCTCCGGTTCTTGAACCTCTCGAAGATATTCCTCCCCTCCAGGTGTTCGGAAGGAAGCCGGAGCAAGATCTCACCTCAGCTACCTGGACGGACCATAGAATCAAAAATTCATTGCAATTACGCTTTTTAGCGTATCGTTTCCAACATAACATTGCATTGATCTTGTCTAACGTTTCCAGGAGTTGCATGCAAAAGAGGCAAGATTTCTTCTCGATTGATTGGCGGAGAGGGGCAATTATTGAGACCAAGAACTTAGCGAGTCAATTGGAACATCTCTTCGAAAGGGGTGAACAATTGGATGAGAACCAGAGCACCAACTATAATTTGATCGCTACTAATCTCATTTCTTTTATTGCCCACAGCAAAGACAAGGGGAGAGAGGTTTTTTCAACTGCTTTAGTGCTGTACTTTTTCTTCCACACGAACCTTTTAGAGAAAATCACGGCACTGGCAATCAAGACTTTCAATGTGATTTTGGGAAGACCCACGGATGATAGGCTTCGTGTGAAGGATGTTGACTACATCGACAGCTCGTTGGTCTCAATCGAAAACAATTTTGTCAATGAGGTTTTGTCCATCTTGACGAAGATAAGTGAACCCAAATACGTCCCTAAATTTCCATATCACCACTTGTTCTACAATCGAGGATACTGCTCCGAAGAGGGTGCGATCCTGGCTGGTATCGTCACTCAGGCGGCTTTTCTTGGATTACATATGGTGAAGCAAACAATTGGCTCGGAATCTCCACTCACGCGCCATGGCGATTACCTTGCGTATCAAGCATTCCCGTTACCGATCTCGCTTCAACTTATCGACTTACTTATCATTGTTTGGAAGGTAAAGCCAGTTGATGATTATTACCCTCTTCATGAAGACTACGGAAGTCCACCTTTCAATATCATCAATCATGTCATGACTGAGGCTCAACTCTCACAAGAATTGGCCTTGAAGCATCTCAGGGCTGTAAAGCTCATCGATCCTTTCCCTGGAGCTCCGGATGACGATGATTCAGAGCTCACCGAGGAAAATATCGACAAGCTCAATGATATTGACTACGAAGACCTCCTTCAACCAGACCATTTGCATTTGGCAAGTGTCAAATTGCTTGATGAACAACGGGATGATGAAGGCAAGTTCTTCTTTGGTTTGCCGTTAGTCAAGTTCGCATCTTATATTGATGACATTGGTCGGGAAGTAGCACTTTTGATCCAAGAGAACCGGCTCAATCTCGCTAACCCCATTGTCGATCAAATTGAAAGCCTCCGTCGTGAGGGAAATGATCCATCATATCATTCCAGATCACTTCTTGTTGACCTTCTTCGTCGAATGTATTCTACTAGCATCTTCCTTGAAGATGGCTCTTCCAATCCAGATCTCAAGAATGCTTTCACGAAATTTGTCAACATTTTTGTTGAGGATTGTCAACAAACTAATGATATTGCTGAAAAGGACTATTTCAGCTCGGGCTTGTTGTTCTTACAACCAGTTTTGAGCAAAACGCCGCCCAACACATTGCCCAAGGTGTTCCATTTTTTCGATGAAGTCGACGCCGAGTTGAAGGATAAACTTTTGCAGACTATACTTTCACTGGATACGAAGGGTAACGTTGAGTGCTCTCTGGCCCTTTGCAGATTGTTGTACCTCTATGCTACTGATGAGAAGTACAAACCTTCGATTAGCAAATCCGGGGTCTTAAAAAATATCTTTAAAGATATAAGACAGCATTCGGACATGACGTCGGAGAGCATGAAAGAGCTTCAAAAGCTCTTGATCTTGCTCGTGAGAGTGTGCTTCGAAGACGCTGCAATACTAGAAAATGTGTTTTCTTCGGAAATCGTCAAGTCGTTCAAGAGACAGCCCAACGGCAAGAAGGACTTCAAGCGTTTGTTAGACGAGAATGTTGAGATGGTGACCAGAAACCCTTCATTGTACATTGATGTCGCCTCAAGGCTTGTCAGATTGGAAAATTTAAATGGGCGCACCAATCACACGGAAAGTCTTTTCCTTGTTGACTACTGTGACCCTCCCAAGAATGATGATGATGTTGAGATGAAGGATTCAGAAAACGTACCAGACATTGGCTCAGATGGTCTCATGCACTTCCTTTTAATTGAGCTCATGTCATGTGCAAAAGAGGACTGGGTAACTAGCCCTCCAAAGCCTGCTGATAAGTCAGGAAGCTCACGTCAAAAGAAAGAGCTCCAGATAGATTCACTCATGAGAAACTCTAAGTTTGCCTACTTGTGCTTTTTGATACAAATGATTACAGAACTTCTCGGCTCCTATAAGCATGCAAAGCTTGAATTTATTACTTTCTCAAAGAAGGAAGGTTCAGAAGACAGGAATAGACCCCGGTCAACGTCTCTTAACTTCTTCATTCACCAACTCAATCCTAGCTGTGCCATGCAGACAGCTAGTACTGACGAGTCACAGAGGAGGGAGGCAATTTCCTCGTTATCAAAACTTTGTCTTCTTACGCTTGTATCTACCCCTACTTTGAAGGATGACCAGTCGCCCGACACAAAGTCTGAGGATGTTGATCTCGCCATTGTGCGCCGCTTTGTCATGGACATCATCTCGAAGGTCATCAAGGATAGCTTTGCACCTCGCTACACTCCCGCTTCAGCATATGAGAAGTTGTACGATGTTTTCGACTTATGCTCCTGCTTGCTTTCCACGAAGTTCCGTGAAATGTGCTTTCCCCTTTTGAACAAGTCTGCTACCAAGTTAGATCAATTCTTCATTGCTTCCGCATTCATCGAGAGACAACTACCAAACCAAATAGCAGGCGCTATCGCTGACATCGATCTCAACTTCCCAAATGTGAATCGGCTTATCAAGATTGGAATGAAACCACTTTCGCATTTGGCGAAGATTAAACTCACTTATGGCGGATATTTCGAGAGCAACCATTCAGAAAAAGATGAAGAGGATATGGTTCCCGAAGACTTGGGTGACCGCGATGAAACGCCTGATCTTTTCAGAAACTCTACTTTGGGAATGTATGATGCTGAGTCCGATTCTGAAGAAGATTTTTACGAAGAGGGCGATCCGTTAGAAGTGGTGATGTCCGGGTCCGATCTCTCTCAAGATGACGACGAAGATACCAGTTCTGGTGATTCTGGAGATGATGATATGGATGAGGATGATGTTGACGATGAAGAAATGGATCACGGAGAGTTCGAAGGATATGCGAGTGGAGATAGTGATGGCGACATCGAGATCATTGATGAGCTCGACATTGGGTCGCATTCGGAAGACTCTGCCAACGAAGAATCAGATGGGTCCGAGTTCTATGGTTTCGATGAGAATGAGACAGATCCAAGTGAATTTATTGATGCTACAGAGGGAGATTTGGACGAAGAGGAGGAAGAATACGACGAAGCTGAACTAGATGGATGGCTCGACACCTTTGGCCACGGAGAGGAAAGTGACGAAGAAGCTGAAGGAAACCCTCGCCTAGGTACAGTTTTCCCTATAGATAACGAGGACGATGATTCTGCGATTGACTTGCGTTCGGAAATTGACGACAATGACGGATCAGAGGAGGAGAGCATTTTTGAATCAGATATCGAAGAGATTGGGGGCCGGGAAGCGAACAGTGCGACTCGTGAATTCATGACATCAATTTTTGATGTTCTCAGACCGGCTCTCCGCCAGCAAAATGTCTCTAACATATTTGAAGGATTAGTGAATGGCCGGTTGCGAAACTCTTTCCATATTGGTGATCACCGTGGCAATGAAATTGGAGGTTTCGATCGTGCTTTTGAGGTCATTCTCAATGACAAGCCAAATAATGCGCAGAAGGGGTCCCTCAATCATGTTTACATCCGGTCTACCATTGAACGATGGCGGAATGCCCATGAAATGTTCTACTCTAATGGTGTTTTGCAACTCATGGAACAGGTGAAGTCTGAAATCTCGAAGAATATTCACGATGAAAGCCTCGAGATTTTTGAGAAACTCAATGAAGAACGTGAAAGGATCAAACGTGAACGTGAAGAGAAGATAAGAAGACGCCGTGAGGAGTCGAGACTTAAACGCGAAGAAGAGATGAAACAGCGTGAGAGTGAAAGACTGCAAAATCCCCCCGATGAACGTGATCCTGTCATGCTCCGCATAGGTGATCGGGAGGTTGATATAAGTGGAACTGACATTGACCCAGAGTTCTTCGAAGCTTTACCAGATGACATGAGAGAAGAGGTGTTCACCCAACATATTCGTGAGCGCAGGGCGAATGCAAATACAACAGGCGCCGAAGTTCGTGAAATCGATCCTGATTTCTTGGAGGCTTTGCCAGATCAAATCCGGGAGGAGATTTTACAGCAAGAAGCCATGGCTCGAAGATTTTCTAGTGGTCGCCTTGGCTTCTTGGAAGCTGATGACGATGATGATCCTGCTAGTGACCTTGAGGATGACGAGGAACAAGAAGGAGAGAGAGATGGGCCACTTGCGATGAACAATGGCACCTCAATTTACCCGCCCGGGAGAAGGCCTGTTAGTGAAGGTGATAAGTCTTCAGCCAAAAAGAGAAAGACTTTTTCAACACCACTAATTGACAAGCTGGGCGTTGCAAGTGTCGTGCGTTTGTTGTTCGTACCGCAGCCATTCCAGCAGAGAACTCATATTTACTCGACTTTATCTCAGCTCTGCAATAACAAACAGACGAGGGCAGAAGCGATGAGTCTCTTGATTGCAATTCTCAATGATGCCTTGCATAGCCAGAAAGCCTTGGAGAAGTTATTTATTCTGATCTGCAACAGAGCAAGCAGCAAAAGGGCGCAAGATGAAGGTGTCAAAAAATCTGTTCCTGTGGGAGCCACTCCTGTTGTTATCGGTATACAGTTGATTGAGGCTGTTTTCTTTTTGTTGGATAAGAACATTCACTCGCGTTACTACCTTTTGACAGAGCATGAAAATGTTTTTGTTACTCGTCGTGTTCAAAAGAAAAAGTTGCAAAATTTAACAACTGAAGATAAATACCCTATCAACTTCTTGTTGAAGCTTCTCGAAAATCCTTTGCTCAGCGAACAACACATGTTCATTGACTTGTTGGCAAGCGTTCTTCATGTCGGAACAAGGCCTCTTTTGCTCTTGAGAGAATCCGGGAAACAGCATCCACCAATATCGACGACGTCGATACCCGCATCGAATTTACGTTTAATCGTGCGTATTCTCAGTTCCAATGAGTGCGCTAATACGACTTTCAGAAGAACGATTAGTGCAATGCAAAATCTTTCCGTGATGAAGGATGCGCAGGAGGTGTTCTCCACCGAACTCTCAGCTGGAGCCACAAAGTTGAGTAAGGACATTGTTCGTGATCTCAAATCGTTGACTTCCGAGCTCGAAGAAGGCATGGTCAACAGCACTGAAAGCAAACATCTCAGTAAGTTCACGGCCCCAAGTTCCGATCAAGCCAAACTCTTAAGGATCCTCACCGCTCTAGACTACATGTACGAGAACCGGGAGAACGAAAATACCAAGGAGGGTTTAAAGAAGGAGAAGGCCATTCAACTTACGGGTCTCTACGAGAAACTTGAGCTAGGAAAGCTTTGGGGTGCTCTCAGTGTATGCTTGAGGGATCTTGAGAATGTACCTTCTTTGCTCAGCATAGCCACAGCATTACTTCCGTTGATTGAAGCACTCATGGTGGTGTGCAAACACAGTAAAGTGAGGGATCTTCAAATGAAGGATGTTATGAAGTTTGAAGCGAAGAAAGTGGACTTTACTAAAGAGCCCATAGAGAGCCTCTTTTTCTCATTTACTGATGAGCATAAAAAGATCCTCAATCAAATGGTGAGAACGAACCCTAATCTCATGAGTGGACCTTTTAGCATGCTTGTTAGAAACCCAAGAGTTTTGGAATTTGACAACAAGAAAAACTATTTCGATAGGCAGCTTCACGAGAAAGCCACCGGTGGTCAAAAGCTCTCCATTAGTATTAGAAGGGACCAGGTCTTCTTGGACTCTTACAGGGCTCTCTTCTTCAAGTCGGTCGAAGAATTCAGAAAAGCTAAATTGGAAATCAATTTCAAGGGAGAATCTGGTATAGATGCTGGTGGTGTCACTAGAGAGTGGTATCAAGTGTTATCAAGACAAATGTTCAACCCTGATTATGCGTTGTTCAGTGCCATTGCGAGCGATGAAACTACCTTCCATCCAAACAGAACTTCATTCGTCAACCCTGAGCACCTTTCCTTCTTCAAATTCATCGGTAGAATTATTGGAAAAGCTATTTTTGATGGAAGTTTCTTGGATTGCCATTTCAGCAGAGCAGTCTACAAGAAAATTTTGGATCGTCCGATGTCGCTCAAGGATATGGAAACCCTTGATTTGGAATATTTCAAATCGTTGATGTGGATGCTTGACAACGACATCACTGACATCATCACTGAGGATTTCTCCATTGAATCTGATGATTATGGCGAGCACAAGGTAATTGACTTGGTTCCTAATGGCAGAAACATTCCAGTCACCGAGGAAAACAAACATGATTACGTTCGTCTAGTCGTGGAATACAGGTTACAAAAGTCTGTGGAAGAACAGATGAGTAACTTCAGCATTGGATTCCACGAGATCATCCCGAAGGACTTGGTGGCAATTTTTGATGAACAAGAGCTTGAGCTCTTGATAAGTGGCTTACCCGACATTGATGTTGGCGATTGGCAGGCGAATACCACATACAACAACTATTCGCCTTCGTCTGAGCAAATCCAGTGGTTCTGGAGAGCTGTCAAGTCTTTTGATAATGAAGAAAGAGCTAAGTTATTACAATTTGCGACGGGAACGTCGAAGGTCCCGCTCAATGGATTCAAAGAATTGCAAGGTGCTAATGGTACCTGTAAGTTCAGTATTCATCGGGACTACGGCTCCACTGAAAGACTTCCTTCGTCTCATACCTGCTTCAATCAGATCGACTTACCAGCGTATGAGGCTTACGATACATTAAGAGGGTCGTTGTTACTCGCGATAACAGAGGGCCATGAAGGTTTTGGAATGGCATAAGATAGTCAGATAGGACAGTAATACGATATATTAAAAAGCTTGTAATTAGGTGCTTTCCAAATACTATTGAATCATTATATGTGATGGTCTCTCAAAGAAGAATTAGCTTCCATCTTCTCGGCAAGTTGCTCCAAGCCATCGGCAGTTTGGTTCATGTGCTCGACGAGTTTGAAGTTCTCAGCATTGATCTTCTCAACAGCTTCGTTGTACAAGCCACAGTGAGTGAGGAATTCCTTTGGTTTCATGGATACGCGACCGTGCTTCTTGAAAACGTATTTTGTGATGGACAAAGCGGCAAGCTTGCCGTCGGTGTGAACCATCTTTGACAACACGTAAATCCATTTGTCGTCCCAAGCCAAAACGTTGGTGAGAATGTTGAACTTCTGGAATACCTTGATTTCCTTCTTGAAGGTACATTGCACTTGGGCCACAGGAATGTAAGGGAAGTTGTTAATACTCTTGCCCTTGAAGTCACCAGTTGCATTGTCGTAAAAGTCTAAGAACAACTTCTGGAACATCTGACAAAGGAACTTGGTTCTGGCAATGTCCAAATCGATGAAGTAGGTTGAGTTCGACTTGTGCATGAACATGTCAAGTTCCAATGGTGAGCAGTAAGTGCTGTAGGTTACAGCTCTGAACACATCCATAGGATTTTTACCGGTGATTCCATAGGTATTCTGTCTAGTCTTTCTGTATTGAGATCTCTTGAAAAGGATGCTCTTCAAGGCAGCCGAGTAGAAGCGAATAACGTAAACCAACGGTAACGTCTTATAAGTGGACGCAAGAAAAACGGCCACAAGGACCTTGACGGCGGTTGGCAAACCCATTAGTTAATGAAAAGAAGTGAAGCAATTGGGCGTTGGGCAAGCATAATGGGTGTTGATACCGTTTAAACCTGTCTCGCCTGCATATACAAACACATATTCCTCGGTGTGTAAGAGAACGTGAAAACTTTCATTGTCGGTATATTAATGTGTACCACCCCCGCAGCAGTGATCAGCATGTCTTGATCTGAACATTGAGTTATGTCTTTCAATGGCATTTTGCACAGCAACCGGTGCTCGCTTGATTCACTTGATGTTGATGTACACCACACTTCTCTCCACACCCACCTGTCTAGAGATACATGATAAGCGGAAAAATCGGTTTTTGGCGATGGCTTATACCGGCACCGCAGCTAAGCACTGATGTTTCTAATTCTTTGACGATGATTGTAGGTGCCGCTTGCCAAGCAATGCAAGGCTGTTTCTAAACAAATCAGTGGTATTAACACTTTTCACACTGGGTGGTGTCTGTAATGCTTTCTAGGTGCAAATCGCAAGTAATTGCCCTATTTCATATACCGCGCCAAAATTTGCAAATTAAAGCGAGTATTACAACCTGCTATTTGGACAAGCGAGAAGTAGGGTCTACTCTCAGACGCAAATATATCACGGTTGAAAACCACAACAATGCAGAGCGCCGTTATTTAATTGTACAATAAGTTCTACAGACGTTATGTGGCTGTTTATCAACCTTTCTTAACCCCTTCAACATAAGCCTCACCGACACGCTGACGGTAGCCGCGTATCGAAACATGCCGTTGAGGTTTTTTTAGGGGTAGGGTGCCACCGAGAATGTCAAATTGCGTCTCCCTTGCGGTTTACTCCTCGTGCTGATGCATCTGTATGCGCTCTTTATTTTACCGAGACCCCCGCGTCGGCCCCTTGGATGGTCTTGATTCCGTGAACAAGGGGGCTTATAGCGTCCAAGCCATCGGCCATAAAATCAGATTTCCGAGCACAGTCCTGCGGATGCTTGCGCTATTATTTACTGGGGCGGAGCTATGAAATCGGTTGTTATGGGCTGAGCCGATTGAATGAGTTTCTTTCTATTTGACGTATTTTAGAATATTCGGTGAAGGCTTTGTCAGGCGCCTGTGGTGGACCAATTCTTACAAGTTTGGCAAGTAGTGATTCTTGTTGTAATGAGCGATATTTGATAATGAGCGTTTAATGTTCTAATCCTAGTCGTAATAATATGGCGTTTGTTAACACGCTTTTTCTATCCGTATCATCAGGCCTACACCTCGTTCATAAATCATACATGCTAATGCTGGTATAACAGGCTCCCGTCGATTCGTAGCGCCAGACGGTTGTGCCTCTAGTGTCTAGTGAGATGCAAAGGGACACTCGTTGGTGTCAATGTGGTTGGTGATCCAGTCGTCCACATTGGTGAATTGCTTCTGACACAAGCGACAGCTGCCTGGAACATTGTTACGTTGCGACTTCTTGGTGCCCGAAGGATATTGGAAATGAATGGCCTTCAAGTGGTTCTTGTAGGTGTCGCAACGGGAGAAGATACCCAGGGTGTGGCAACAGTGGTCCTCTGAGTCGGCAGCGCCAGTTTTGAAGGGACAGCGAAATTGGCCCTTGTCTGCACCGATTTCCTTCCAGTGGCACTTGAAATGACGGAACAAGTCGTTGGGTCTGGCGAAGCCTCTATGGCAAAGCTTGCACAAGTGGGGTCTGTTGGTCGGCTTGAGATGAGTCGACTTGTGAGTGGCCAAGTTCGAGAAATAAAGATGGCACTCGGGGCACTGTCTCTTCTTGCGAGGCTTCCACGAAGAGTCTCTAGGTGACTCGGGCAGCGTGGAGCCGAGGGGTTGTGGAGTTGCCGAAGGTGAGAGCAGCTGGGCTGGAGGGGTCTCTGCCGGCGTCTCAGCCTGGACCGGAACAGTAGTAGGGGTCGAGGCACAAGCGGCTGGCTCGTTTGCTACCACTGGGGCAGCCGTGGCCACGGGTGGATATGTAACGGGTTTGTGCTCGCTCTCGGCATCTGAGTGTGCCATGCCAGACACAGACGCCACCGACGAAGGCAGCCTTGAAGGCGCCTGAGTCTGGAATGAGTAAGCGGCCGAGGCCGATTGAGGTACCGGATGGTGATATGGAGATACCAGGCGGTCATTTAGTTGCTCATGGCCCGGGCCAACAAACAGCAGGTTCGTCAGCAGAGGCGTGGCGCCAAGGTTGCCAAGCGCGGGGCCCTGCCCCATAGCATGAGAAACGGAGAAAGTACCGTGGACCCCAGGCATGTTGTAGTAGAGGGGCTCATATGACTGAGGGTATGCCTGGTAATGGGGGTGCTGGCCGGCCATGGCGGCAGGGTTGGAGTAAGGGTGCTCGTGCTGACCCGGTAGTGGGAGGTCGAGCGAAAGCAGCCGTATGGAGGGGAGTTTGCAAGTGTTACTCATGATGGATGTGTGGGTTATGTGGGAAAAAAAGGGTAAAGTGTGGAAATGATAAAAAAATGCGGAGGCCAAACTTGATCCAAAATCGGGGAGAAGCTGCAGATATATACCAGCCGGCAGCCGCCAGGTCCGAGAGGTGAGCGCGGCGGCCACGGGACGGCTGAGGTAAGTATAGATTTTTAGCTGCTGCGGCCCCAACGCACTGCAGCATCGACCGAGCTATTGTGCCACCGGAGAATTGGCGGGCGCAGGCGTGGACGCTGAGTCAGCTGGGAGGGCGTTAAAACGGGAAAGTTTAAAACCACAAATAATTTTTTTTACTTCACCTTCTTCCACCTGCCATAAGCTGAAACTTCCGCTCATAATATTCCCCAACTTTCCTTCTGTGTTCCCTTCTTCTTGGGCTTTTGTTTTGCACAACTTACCTGGCCAGGCGCGGCAACCTCGGCGCGCATAGCCGGTGACAGGTCGTTGCATAAGATCCAGGCCGGAAGGAATCCCTGCCGGTACTGCCGAAAACAGGCGGCCGCACTGATGCTCCCGCATTGGCTTAAGGTTGTTCCCGAAATAAAAAGCTAGCGCTTATGGCATTGGCTGAAAGTGTAACGAAATGTTTATTTTTCTCAAATATGTACTCCGGTTGTTGGCGCTGCAAGGACTCTGCCACACCCCATATCGTGCCGGCATCCTCGGGCTTGGGTCTTTGCGCTCGCTCCACGGCGCCGTTGCCCAGCCCCATCATTGCCCCAGTTCGGCTTGATACGAGCACACACCCATCAAATCCCGCCGCCTGCCGTATATCGCTCAAAGCCATTTTTTCCCTTCGCCGGTATTCCTTGTACACAATATTTTTTTTTTATTAGAGGGTAAGTCGAATTTACACTTTCCCTTCTCACCTGGAGCTACACGATGTAACTTTCTTAGGACTTGAAACTACCTCATTGGGCATGGGGGTCATGGCCTTGGCGGGGCTATGGCAACATTTGCTCAGCGCTCCTTTAGGGGCAGATCCGACCCGCTCCCGCTGCTAAAGCCGCTCGCCTCGCCAGATTATGTGTACTCTCCTTTTTGACGTAATGGTGCTCTCGCAGTTGCGGTTTCCGCGAATACGTAAATTCGCGGGAGTGCTCCTCACTTACTCCTTTTAACGTTGGAAGGCTGGTTGGTAGGTAAATAGAACTGGTTGATGATTTTGTTCGGCTATCTTTGTGTATTCTAAATAGGGGTTGCGGTTATGCAAAAATGTTGTGTTCACGCTCTGCTGTCATCCCATTAGTTGGCCCAGACAGTTTCCCCTATTTCGCCGGCCCAACCGGCGAAACGTATTGGTTGGCGCGCTACAGCCGTGTCGAGCCAAAACCTCATGATGCAGACCAGTCAACCCACTAGCCGTTGACCCCCGATGTTGGGTATATAGAGGAAAAAGAAATCTTAGTCTCCCCGTAGAATGATTGTTGAAAAGAAGCCAAGACACTTTTCGTCACGTTCATTTTCTCCGGTTTCTGAAGAAGGCTGGCCGGTGAAATATGAAAAAAAATGTAAAATCCGGATCTCCGTGTGTTTCAAGCTTTGTCATCGCGTTTCAGAAATCTCGGTATTTCATGTCAGAATTCTGGTATTTATTCTCTCACTGTCGGTTCAGCCTTGCGTGGTCTCCGGACAAGCCGGCCAGTAGAAACAGCGCGAAAACGTCCACTGATCCCACTGACCAACGAATGGTCTCCTAATTCTACAAAAAGAAAATAGTTTTGTTTTTTGTGGAATATTGTTAAATTAGCTGACTGAAAACTGTCTCAGAGATCCAGGTCACCATTTTGAACCCGGCCTCAAAGATCTGATTGTTGTTGAATGGATCGTGCAAATCGATCGCCCAAGCGGGTTGCAAATTTACCCGCGCGGCTAACGGTTACCCTGCAGAGATCACAACCATCCCGTTCACTGCAGTAGCCACCTCAAGCTCGTCGATTCAAACACTACAAGAAGATGAATTTTATCATGATAAAGAACTCATGGTACTATTTGACGTCTCTACAGCTGAAAGCATCCGTCATCGTTCCACCTCCTTCGTCTTACAAAAAATCGCGTATCTGATTAATAGCAATAATCTTACTATAAAGAACAAAATCTAGATTATCTAACGTAATTTTCAAAGCGATATGCAAAAACTCCCCATCACCTTGATGAGAACACGCTCCTCACTTGTAGCCCCCGTAGAGCTATCCTGTGATTGCGCTCCTTCATGCCTTTCTCGAACGAGCCTTTGACTTGCTCTTGCCCACGGAAGCACCAGAAGTAGCACCAGCGGAAGTGTCCACACCAGCGGCGGCAACAGCCTCCTCCTTCTTGGCCTTCTTTTGAGCACTGCTTCTGTAAACCTTGATATAGAAGGAGATGAACAAAAGTAAGTAAGATGTCAAGATGAAGTATCCGTAGGCAGCGGCCATCTCAGATCCATAGCAATCACCCATGTGAGGCAACCAAGGGAAGTATTTGAAAGCATAGTGGGTGTAGGTTGCAAAGTAGACGAAGATCAAATCCAAAACAAATTGGATGATTTGGAAACGAGTCACCCACTCCTTCCACCAAACTCTAATACCGCGAGCACTCAAGAAGTAGTACCAGTACATAACGACATGGACAGCCAAGTTCAAAGCAATAGGCACCCACTCAACAGCGGTGGATCCTCTCAACTGAGTGTAGCACAACAAAGCGGTGGCTCCGTGATGGTAAACATGCAAGAAAAGCAACTTCTTCTTCTTCAACACCAAGAACACGGTATCGATCAACTCCCAGTACTTCGTGAGGTAGTTCAAGTAGTACAAGGTGATCAACTTTGGCGCAAATGCTCCAGAGTCACACACAGCATAGAAAAGACCGTGGTTATACAAGATTGGAACAAGCTGTTCAATCATCAATAACAACAAGATCAATGATGCAATTGTCAAACCCAAGTTATGAGCCTGGAACAACAAGTTCAACTTTAATGCTGGAGCACCCACAGCGTTCGAGATGGCACGGCCACCAAAAATCACAGTGTAGTAGACTGCGATAATACCAATAGCATGCCAACCGTTGGCTAAGAAAGTTTGATTGTGGATAAATCTGAATTCCTCAGCAGGGTAGCCCACTGCTCTCTCAAAAACTGCGTTGAAAAGAGGCCACAAGTGCAAACCGAAGGGCCTTTCGATTGAGGGAATGCTCACTTGAAAAAGTGGCTCCTTCTGAAAATGCTCAAGTACAGTGGACATGGAGAGACACGAAGTAGGTGATTAAGATTGTTTTTCAATTTGAAATGTGACGGAAAAAAATCGCGAACCAGAGCCGAGGCTCAGACGTGTGAAGGCCTATTTCAACGAGGAGAACATGCTAGGGTATATAGCAACTTTTACTAGCAGTTCACCTATTTATTTTATTTATTCGATTTTTTTGAAGAGATATTACTTGAGGCGTTTTATTGAGAAAAGAACCTCTCACTATTCATCAGTTTCTCTATTCGCATGATAGCATCTTAATATGTTTGCCGAATCCTCCGCAATTCGCCCTGTGAACTGTATACGAAAGTCATCGGGCAACCAACATCTGATGGGCCGGACCACTCCAGCAATATTTTAGAGTGTCTCATATTGTAGAAGGTACAGGTGTATCTGTAGACAAGTGTGTTGATATGTGGTGTATTACTGCCGATGTGGACGATTTGTAGACATATTTACAAAGACTAGATTATCTTCACGACGTGCTCTGAGTACAAGCTCACCGTGTCTGAGACATCCCACATTTCGGACAATTCCTTAACTTTTTTGCTTCGGCTTCAAATTCAAGAAGTCAATCGAAACGATGATATCGTAGCCATTTTCTTCACACGCATACAAAGCCTCGTGCTCGTTCGAATGCAAGAATCGAATGTTTTCACCAATCAATGCTCTGATAAGAGTCGTGCTTTCCAAATCACGTATCTCAATGAAACCAGGGTCGAAAGCCAACAAATATGGATAGAATAATGCAATATTTTGCGGTGAGCCCTCCCAAAATATTCCCCAGTCATGTTTTGTTCTCCAACCGTTACGGTTGATCAAGAAGGAAAATTCACTGTAACTCAAAAGGAAGTTCTTCCCCAATCTATGAATTCCTAGAGGTGCCACACTTTCTCTTTGCGTGGCGAAATCCAATGAGGGGTCTGCTTCATCAAGAATAGGCTCTTTCCTTCCAGCCTCAAGAGATAAAATCTCGAAACCCTTCGTGCAACCAATACACAACTTTGTCTTCAAAAATGAAATGGAAACAGGCTCGGACATGAAAGCAATCTCTCTAACCTCCGGTTTCTTTCCCTTTCCTCTCATCTTGGAGTCAAATGGATTGGTGGGCTCAACAATGCTGATAGCTTTTGCACTTCCACTCTTCACTGCGCAAACCAATAATCGACCATCACAAACTCCAGTTTTGAAGAAAGATACATAATTGAGAATAATCTTTCCACTTCTCGTATTTTTCACATGGTCAAGCGAGTCCGTGCATGAAAGGTCGAACTCATACAACGTCTTCTCAGAAAGAACCAACAACTTCGAATACTCAACCAAAACCTCCATTTGGGAAATGTAAGGCTTGCTGATTACCATTGTTGGGTCAGAACAAATCTTCTCATTCGACGTCATGCTGATAGAACGCACAGTGGAAACCCAAACGCCAGCATCAGTACCATATAACAACTTCTTTCCACCATAGCAAGGCACTGCACAATTAATCCTATTGTGACCAGTAAACCTTCGAGTCTCATACTTGCTTAGGGAAAATATATCATGCTTATCAAGGAGTTTCCTCTGCTGCTGCTGAACTTGCAGCAAGATTTGACTTTGATTGGTGACGTCGTCTGCGTACAAGGAGACATGAACAGGGTTATTACCAAGTCCCAAGAAATTGACCTGAAGCTTTTGCTGCGAGGAAGAAACAGGATTATAGTTCGATGCTTCAGCACGGTTTCTCAAACTCGTGTCAGATATTATTGAACCATTTTCTCTGAACTGTAGAATCGACTTGATTCCTGGAGAGTCATACCCACTGTTCACAAAAAGCAATGGCAAGTAAATCGGCTTTTCAAAGACCTTGTGGACTTCTCTTTTGTTTTGTATCTTGTGTTTCACGAGCAATAATGCGTGTTCGAACAAATAGAGATCAATCTTCTCGTTATCACGCTTTCTGCTGAGTGTCACCTGATAAATAATCCTATTGTTGTAGTTGAGTTTGAAGTTGAATCTGTCCTCTAGTGTTTGACGCCCAAGAAGCCTATGCAAAACCATTATTTTATGACGATCAGTACTTTCACCAGTCTGAATGTTGATCTTATTCAATACCTTTTCGATTTCTTCCTTTGCTTTCACAAGATTCTTGTAGTCCGGAGATGATTCATTCGTATTCTTAAGAATACCGCCTAGAAGAAGTTGGTACCTTGCAGGACGTTGAACACCCTTAATCAAAAAGGATGATAAGTCTTGTTTTCTTGACTCTGGTTTCTTCTCAATCGCATCCAAAAATCTCGCATATTTGATGTTCACTTGTTGCTGTCTTTCATGTTCGAAACTGGCGAAAACCTTGTTACCAGAGTATTTAATGAAAGGGTCAAACGAGCCCACAAACTGCAAAAACACATCACCAACGCTCTCCACAACCGGTTTTTGTTGCTGTTGCCTGTTCGTGAGTGCTTCGCTAAGACTTTTTGCGAGGCGTAGCAATTCACTCACTCCACCGAAAACAGTTCTTATAAAAGCCTCACGTTCACGCTCTGGAATGATATTATTCGCTGGGTTGCGCAATGGAAGTATGTAAAAGTCTGTCATAAACTCAAGATCCTTGACATAATCTCTTTCGGTGTAGATTAGCTCGTAGATTAGTTCTTGGCGCATCTTCTCATGTTTATCAAGATCATCAAGAACCAGTTGATCAACAGTTTCGTGCCAAAGCGTTTTGTTGGTCTCATTGTCATGCAAAGAAAGTCTAGAAACTGCTCTTTTAAGTCCACCTCTTGGTTTCATGTTTAATCTTGCTTGTTGCTCTAATCGGCGGGGACAGGCGATAGAGTAACAAAGACTGTCGCGAGTACAAGTTGGTGAATAGCAGTTACTCAAAATTGTGAAGACACCGTTGACACCTGAAGACTCCTGAAGCTCTCGCGGCTTGTGATTCTGTCCAAAGACAGCAATGCCACCATCGACGGGGCTTGGAGGTATACTTGGAGGAGCTGATGATGTAGGATATGGGGCAGAGGATGGAGGCTGCGGCAGAACAGACATCTGGTGCTCATTAAACGAACCACGATTCGAATTATTGTTGCTGCCATGACCATTCCCATCTTCTGCAAAAAATTCCACATCATTGTAGTTCCGGCTGAATGTGTAAACCTCGTGACTCAGGTCTCTTAGTCTGTGATTGTATGTTACGTCGTGAAAGAACTTCTGCGCATCTAATGAGCGCCCTAAAAGCAATGCAAGATTTCTGTCATTTGTGCGAATGATGCTGCAAATCACATCAACCGCTGTGTCACCAGTAAAAGAGTCATGGTATTCCAAACCATCCTTCATGTTGATTGTGAGGATTACTGAGTCTTTAAAGGCTTTAGCGACACGAGAAAGGACCGCAGGGTAAATCGAAGGTTTTCTAGGCTGAAACATGGCCATTGTTTTTTGTGATGCAATAGTTGATGAAGAAACATTTCGTTCCTGTTTGTTTTGGAGCGATGCCGAGGAAGAGAACTTTTTCGTCGACAAAGAGGATAATTTCCCGAGTGAGCTAAATGATCTGAATTTGGAGGATAAGGAAAAGGTGTGCGACGAATTGGAACTCGTCTGATTTGAAGTGCGACTGGGCGGGTTCTGAAAATTCTGCTGAGTGGGAGGGTAGTTTGTTGGAGCGCTATTGTGTTTCGTGGATGATGATGAAAGAGACTTTGTCCGAGCTTCGTTCCTTTGCTGTGAATAAGCCTGGCTTCCCAGCGGGGGGACAACGCCAGGATGGGTAGAAACAGTAGGTGAGGAAACAATCCGCCTACCCTCGGGCATTGGCTTCATCGACGAAGGTGCCTTTCGAGGATTCGAGTTAAACGTTTGAGCAGATGGAAAGCCGAACATACCAGGTTGAGATGGAGGCATATCATGCTGTCCGGTAACACCGGAGTTCGTCGAAGTAGGATGTTCCGCGTAGCCGTACTCAGGCACAGTTCCAAAGGGAGTACCAGCTCCATATGGTGGATTCTGAATGGATCCCGTAGTATCAAGAGAGAGTGAGCTTCCGTTTTGTGATTGAAGTGTGCCTCGCAGGCCCTGCCTCGGAAGCTGACCAGCGCTCGAGTTCGCGTATGGTGCCAGGTAAGGGTTGCTCAGCGTGCTTGTCATCAGTCTCTGGCCTTGATATTGTGGACGGTTCACCTGGTGAGCAGTATACTGTGGCTGGTACCTCCCATTATAAGGAATTTGTTGAGAGCGCTGAGAATCATTGAGGCTATCTGGGTTTGAAAAGTTGTTGGACGTAGGGTAGGGCGCTTTGCCAGTGGGCGGTCCCGCCCACCTTGAGTTATAAGCAGCGGATTTCGTGTCTGGATATTGATTCACCATGCCTTGTGGTAGTTGTTGTTGTTGCTTGTCGTACAGTAGCAGCAGTGAGGAGTGAGATAACTTGTTAGAATTGTCAAAAGCTGCATCCGCAGCTGATGAGACAAACTCGGTATGACTAGGAGCGGAATTTGTCTCGTGGTAAGACCGTGAGTTATTCAATTCTTGCGGGGGTCGTTGGCTTCTTCCAATCTGACCAAGCATACCATGTGGTATTAGGTGTTCTGGGAGATTCATAGCGTCAGGTCTCGCTGACCCCTTGCCGTAAGACATTATGATCCTAGACTTGATTTAACAAAGGATCGATGGGGGTTAAAACGGTCTTGATTACAAGGAGAAAGGGAATCTTAGGCAATTCGCTGATAGAGAAAAAAAATAATACGAAAGTGCAGGTACATATTTGTCGAGTAGTTTAAAGGTGGCATCAACGTAGTCCTACAAAATTAAACAGTTTAAAGCTTCTCGGCAATCTCACTTAACCCGTTTTCTAAGTCCTTCGAAGAAATACTGTGAATCGAAGCGTTCAAGTATCGAGGACCCTTTGTGATCACTACATATCCGAATTTAGAGTGCACCTGTCTGTGAGCGCGGGAAGATTTCTGAATCAAGGCAGGAGGGAGGCTTCCGCACAACGAGTGCGTCTCTGGGCAGTCGAAGCTAGCTATTCGGTTGCTGAAGGAGAAAAAATGCCCTCTGTAACAATTGTGCGTTTGCACACAAGTCCCCAGTACGGCAAGAGTGCTTCACTCTTTATATAGTTAAATCTCGTATTACTTTATTGGCAGAATTGAGCATCTTCGTACAACATTTGCCTTGAGGGTTCTTCTTGGGAACTGCGAGAATGCATTTCATGTAGGCCACTTCATTCAAACAAATAGGTGCGATCCAATAACTGCAGATTTGATACGTGACCTAAGTTTTAACGTAAAGCATCGTTAATTATGAAGGTTGACGAGATGTTGTGGCTGACTAGCCTGCCAGTGGTTCCATCATGGTGTGCGCAGCATTATCAAAATAATCGGTACATGATCGTCATGAAATTGTTATTTCCAACTCTTGCTGATTCAACTCCGATACTCCATTTAGATGAATAATTTTATAATTTTAATTCGGTTGTTACTCGAATATATGAAGCCTAAAAATTGTCCGAGCCGGGGAAGGCCTGCATCCAGCGAACGCTTTTCTAATCAAGACACATAGCTAGTTAAACCTTCTTTCTCCCACAATCACCAGCAATGCCCGCCTATCATTCCACCTTCCTCGGCGAGGAGAGCTCTGAAAGACAAGTCGGGAATGTTGTCTTATTGCCAATTCATACGCTGTATCGTGGTCCTTCTTACCCACCCAGTTCGGAGTACGATATAATTGAGGAGACACTCGATTTATTTAGAGCCAATTCATTCTTCAAAAACTTTGACATCAAAGGCCCGGCTGATAGATTGCTCATTTACGGGATTTTGTTTGTAAGCGATTGCTTGTCGAAGTTGAACTCCAAAACGAGTCAGCGAGAGGCTGTGAGAGTTTTAAACAACTTAGCACTTGACTCGTTCGCTTTACCGGGCGACATTGGATTCCCTTTGAATGCCCTCTATCAAGCGCCAGCGAACAAGAATGACGCTGACTTGCTCCGCGGTTACTTGCAGCAATTCCGTCAGGAATTGGCGGATCGCTTGTTAAAAAGAGTTTATGCCCAGGATGAAAGCAGTCCCAGCAAATTCTGGTTAGCTTTCACCAGAAGAAGATTTATGAACAAGAGTTTGTAAGGGCATAGGAAGTTCCGTGAATCAGGGGACGCAGGTACATGTGACCTTTAACTGTTTAGGAGCCGATTGGTCAATAAACGCTTGAATAGAAACACTTTCGAAGTCGGATTGATTTACGATCTAAGAGATGAAGAAGAAATAGAATGAGGAAATGAAAAATTCACCTCTTTTTCGATAGACCTTCATGTTCACTAAATTGCATATGAGTAATGGGCCTTGTTACCGCTCTTGAGCGGCTCTATCACCACGTTTATACGCTATGAAATATGGCTTAGATTTGAGACAAACCGAAAAAGGTATACTGTCCTCTGCTTGAAAGTTGCAGCGCAAATCAATCTTCATTAATCAGGGTACACGTTGTAGCCGCGGCTCCACGTGTGTCAATAGCTGTACATGTCTCCGGCCATAAGATTATCCTCAGTACATCATGGTGAGATATATAAGCGGCACTAGCCTCTCTTGAAATGAATGGACGAAAAAAGTCAGACTGAAAAAGCTCAGACAGCTTAATCAGCCATGTATTTAAGACACTTAATTATACATGCTCTTCTCGCAACCGTTCTGATTGCAGCCTATGTGGGACCTTTCAAGCCTGGCAGTGGACAACCTGAAAATCAGAAGAGAGACTCTTCTATCGATGGAATTTACGAGGAATTGGATTTGAGAGACAAAAAATTTGTCGATTCCCATTTAAAGCAATTGATTGACTTCGAAGGTGATAAGTGCGAGGCCTGCCACAATAAGATCAAGTACGCTCAAAACCTATTAAAGGAGTTTCCAGAGCAAGACCATTTGATCTCCCTTACCCTATACAAATACTGCTTGGAGGAAAATAAAGGGAAGGATTCTAAATGTGAGTCCACTGACTTCTTCTTGTTCACCTCCCAAAAGAATTCGTTGAGAGAGTCCTCTTTCGAATCGTCTCATCTACAGGGCGCTTCTTCCATCAATTTCTTCTACAATGATTTCACTGAGATGGTGAGACACTTTAATGTGTCGTCCAATCTTTCACTCAACTACTACTGTCATTACAAAGGAAAGTACTGTGAAGCCCCGGAAACTCCGGCTTTAACAAATATTATCGATTTGGAAGCTTTGTGGCCGCCTAAAAAGCCTGAGCATCAGAGAGAGCCAAACTACAGCTCGAACTTGGATAAGTTCAATGTTCTTCATCTTTCTGACTTCCACAACCAATTGAGATTTGAAGTTGGTTCAGAAGCGAATTGCTCGCAAGGCCTTTGTTGCTTACCGGAGTCTTTCAATGAGGACAAGGTGTCAAAGGGTTACAATTTCACGAAAGTATTGGATGATGCGGGCGCCAATGCTCAAAATGCCAAACTTTCCTTTTATCCAGATGCAAAGTTCGATCTTAATGATACTTACTTTGAAGGGCCATACTATGATGTTCCGAGCTACAGGGGATGGAGCTGGGCCTGGGAGCCCGCATTCACTTTTGGAAACTACCAGTGTGACCCCCCTGAAGTCATGTTAAATCACAGTTTGAAGCACATCTCATCCACCTTCGGGGACAATAACTACGAATTCTCTCTCTTCACTGGAGATATTGTTGATCATGATGTTGCTCACTGTGATGCAAATACCACGAGATTGGCAGAAACTCGCTCGTATCGTATCATGAAGCACTTTTTGCACGATGTTGCGGTGTATCCTACCTTAGGAAATCACGACACCTTCCCCTACGGTCAATTGGCTCCGCACAGCATTAGTGAAGATGAATCTGTGGATTGGAATGATGAATTGGTAACTGAGCTTTGGTATTCAAACGGATGGGTCAATAAGACAATCGCTTCTTTTGCTCGTCAGCACTATTCAGCATTTGCAACCACCACCAACAGAGGCCTCAAGATTATATCATTGAACTCGAACTGCTATTACAAAAAGAACTTATACGCTTACATCAATATGGAAGCTGAGCCAGACATCTTTGGTCAGTGGGACTTTCTTATCAATGAGTTGGTCGAAAGCGAGAAGATTGGTCAAAGGGTGTGGATTCTTGCTCATATTCCAGCCGGAGATGCTGATGCATTACCCATTCAGTCCGAGATCTTCGCTTCCATTGTTGAGCGCTTCTCACCATTCACTATCGCTAACATTTTCTATGGACATACCCACAGAGACCAGTTCAAAGTTCTCTATAAAGACCAGAATCCCATTAATATGGCATGGATTTCGCAGGCTATTACACCTTTGGGCCCAGCAAATCCATCATGGAGATTCTACGAGGTACAAGATGAGCTGTTTAATATCCTCAACTCTTTCAACTATTATTCGCAGTTGAACGCTACCTGGGCTAATGGAGGCGCAGAGCCAGCATGGCAATACGAATATAACGCTAGAGAAACTTATGATCCCAGCCACCAGTGGCCGAATGACGCTCCATTGAATGCGACATTTTGGGACAAGTTCGTACTTCTGCACTTGAGAAATGTTCTGGACATTGATTTCAATCAGAAGTATACCAACTTGATGTTCCGTGAAAATCCATACATTACAGAGTGTAAAAACGGGTCTAAGGTCTCGAGCGAGTGTTACGAAAATAATTACTGCGATGCCATAGCCTTCAAGGTCGATGACTACGATAAATGTGTTCAAGGTTTTGAGAGCCTTGAAGAAAAATGATCCCGTTAATTGGGTGAAACAGTAGAATGATAACAGGCAAATCAAACATACAAACAATATAATTTTGTGTAGATTAAGTGAGGAGCACCTCATTTGCGCCCTTGATAGGCGCTAGGCGTGCTATTTAAACGCAATATATGAACAAGTGTGGCGCTCATTTTGAATCAACATACTACTTTTTTACCTCTGACGATGTCGATAGGGGACGAACAGAAGGAGCTTTTGAGGTTGGTCGAAGCTCTAGCAGCCAAGAAGCCACCTTCGTTCGGTAAATCGAACGATGGCTTGCATGATGCTCGATCCAACAAGTACTGGGCAAATCTTTTACCCGAATCCACAAAGAAAAGATTTCAAAAGGCAGGCATTGATATAGAAGGCGGATATCCAGCATTCCCAGCACAGGAAGACATTCCCAAATTCTTGGATCAAGCCTTTAGTGTCCGCGACAAGATAGAGCCTTTCACAGATCGTGGGACCTTCGCAAGACCTGACAAAAAGGCCTTATTTGATGCTGCTTTGGAAGTTAGAGATCTTACGAAGCATATTGGCACCGAGATCGTAGGCTTGCAATTAAAGGACCTCACCACTGAGCAAAAAGACGACCTAGCCCTTCTAGTTGCCGAGCGTGTCGTTGTGTTTTTCCGAGATCAAGATTTGAGTCCACAAAATCAGCTCAGTTTAGGAGAGCATTACGGTCGCGTTGAAAAACATCCACAGGCGCCTTTCGTACCAATTCCTTCATCACGAAACGATCCTTATGCTCAAGGAAGTGGTGTTTCCATTATTTGGTTGAAGTTTCTTAAGGATTTTTATGGAATACGCAAAGGCTTTCGCTTCAATAATTACCCCTGGCACACAGACCTTGTCCAT